TATATCATGTTTTGGTATGTGTACATATATATGTCGCACACTATATATAGGTACGTGCTATACTGCTATAGCGTTTCAATAAATTATAATATTGATCGATTCGATTTTACGAAACATCGCACATTCGCACAGATRTGTATCGCGTCAGAGTCATGTACGGAGACGTAGTCAGTCGTGCAGCGCAATTTTAGTGCAGCCGCTGTCGAAAATCCGCAGAGAAACCTAAGGCCGACGAGTGACYGTCGGCGCAGGTGACATCGAGGTGAATGCACTTAAATTACGAAATTATCATAATAATTAATCATCGTTATCATAACGATGGAAATTTAATAGATGATGGATTTTCACTCCTGTCAATAATAATGTCGAACAGCATACGTCGTCGAGTTAATAATATATATTATACAGTGCCTATATTTTATTTTAAATTAATAGGGTCAGCGAACGAAATATTCGAAACCTACTAAAACGTTTAACGTTTAATATAGTTAATAGCATAATATAATATATATATGAATGATATTATGATAAATAATTCGGTTTAAATGAATAATTTTTCAATATTTTGAACAAAAGTAATAATAATTATAATTATACGTCATGCTATTCAACATTCGACATRAAACGCACTAGTTTTCCGCTTCTTATATTTCAACTTGAGTTATGATCAATAATTATTATATGGGTCATGTTAATATCACGTTGTGTCTGGATTAAATTCCCAGTTATTTTTAGTGTGTATTATAAAAAAAGTAAAGTTAACGGAAAATCAAATACATTTTACGTGTTTAATTATTTTTACGTCCGCTCGTCATATACTAATAACATTACTAACTACAGTTATTACGATGTAAACGCCTTTGAAAATAAACTAACTTTTTTTTATATTTATATAAAGGACGTATGACGTTTATATTTTGAAACACCTATGGTGATTTATTGAGGGATAATAACAACATTATTTTATTGAAAGTAAACTGTTTATTCTAATTTTCTACGACATAACAATAACAATAATAACTATATATAATATCCATTAAATAGTACGGTATCAAACACGAAAAAAACGAGATTAAGTGATTTTCGAGACACAGCAACATCACACCAGCCTGTAAAAATAAAACTACTGTAACAAAAAAACGGAAATGGATATTATAGGATTGCTATTAAACACCTTAGACTCCGTCGCCGTATCACTAGTCGGAACCGAGTTCCCTGATTTTGTCGAACGTCAACTCTCTGATTTCTTTGGCACTGAGTTCGATGTTGAAGTCTTGTTCCAACACTTGTTTAATGTCRGTTCCCAGCAACGAGTCCAAGCCCAGTTCGGTCAGCGTGGATGTGCCCAAGATATTCTTTACGTCTTTGATACCTGCGTGTTTAKATTATATACAATACCGAAATATAAAAATCGATATAAATTGTTTCGTTATGGGATAGTGATAATAATATCAAAAAAAAAAAACTATCGGGCACGTGCAATACCCGAGAGATATTTTTTAGGCATTGAAGTCTATAAAAAATATCATCATATTGATGCGTGCATTTTTTTC